AAAATCCATCCCCATTGACGCAACTCCACATGATGATCCTACACAATACAAGAGTTTAGCAGGTGCATTACAGTATTTAACCATCACTCGTCTTGATCTATCCTTTGCAGTTAATCAGTTATGTCAACACATGCATGCACCTACAGCTACTCGCTGGGAACAACTAAAGAGAATATTAAGGTATGTCAAAGGAACTGTTAATTTCGGCCTACGAGTCAGGAAGTCATCCTCAACGGAAATTCATGCTTTCTCTAATTCTGACTGGGCCGGCTGTCCGAACGATAGAAAATCCACAAGTGGCTTTGTTGTTTTTCTTGGATCTAATCTAGTATCATGGGTCTGCAAGAAACAAAGAACTGTTGCTAGATCTTCTACTGAGGCTGAATATAAAGCTCTAGCAGATGTTTGTGCTGAAGTGATTTGGATCATGTCTCTTCTACGTGAAATCCGTGTTAAAGGGATCTCTGTTCCCAAATTATGGTGTGATAATCTTGGAGATGTGCCAATCCCATCTTCCATGCCCACACCAAACATGTAGAGATAGATTATCACTTTGTGCGAGATAAAGTTGCTACTGGAGAGATTCAAGAAAATTTCATCTCAATAAAAGATCAACTTGCAGATATATATTCACCAAAGCCTTGCCTGGTCCTAGATTTTCTTTTCTCAGAGACAAGTTACAAGTTACAAGTGTTACAAGTCTACCATGCGCTTGAGGGGGAGTATTAAGACTAGTATTAGAACTCTTGTATTTGAGTCATAGTATGACTCCCTATTCTAGTCTTCCTATGATTCATCTTGTATATATATTCCCGTGTATGTACAGTTGTAATTAAGTTCATTCAATACAATTCATACAGTTCTCATCCACATTATATATTGGAGTTTTATGTTAGTTATTTTCTAAAATATAAATATCAAATTTATAAAAATGTTTTACATTATTATTATTATTATTATTATTATTATTATTATTATTATTATTTATAATAATTTAAATATCTAAAATCTAAATAAATTTAAAATTTTAATATAAAGTACTAATATTGGACACCTATTTTTTGTGCATTGCGCATAAGGAAATACTAGTAATAATAATAAATGATAATTGCTTTTATTACAAAATAAACTATTCAATATTAAGAACACATAATTGAACGTAATAATCTTAAAATAAAATAAAGAAGTTCTCTCACACGCATATTCATAGGATTTTTATATGATATTCATTGCATCGGTGTTCATAATAAGGAATATAAGTATATTTAAATATAATAAGTATGATTATCACAAATTCATAATACTAGCTCATATATTACTGAGCGATGCCAATTCAAGAAACACCATAGGAAATACTTGTATATAAGTATGTATGAGCGTATATATCATGTTCCTCTCATAAGCATTTGTTCGTAGTTCTCAATGGACTCGAGCCTCTGAAGGAGCAGCTGATGCTTAAACTTTTGGATGAATGCTTCCGCACTTTGGTTTATATCTTCCGTCGTCGGCTTTCGTTCCAGCTTCTTTGCCGGTGGCGGCGCAACCGCAGCCTTCTTTGAGGCCACGGCGGTGCTTTTCCTCAGATCCATAACTGAACTCTCGCTTCTATCCTCTTCGATGCCGCCGGCCTTCTGGCTGCTGCGACTGCGATTGTATTGATGATCAGATCTCACGGACTTCTTCTCCATAACCGCTTAGCTTAGCTTCTTTTTTTTTTTTTTTTTTTTTTTGTTGTATGTGTTGAAATTGAAGTGAAGCCTCTATCTGAATTTATAGTGACGAAGGTTGAAGCCGTGACGCGTTGTAATTATTAATAATTTTGTTTTGGGTTAGTATGATTGACTGGAAGCTGGATGGCAATGTGTATGTGATCAGATTTTTGTATATTATATTTTGCATGGACACGCCAACACGTGGGGTAGGCTAATTGAGTCCATCTCAACGAAAAGTCAACACTTTTGAGCCATGGAATCCTCAAAATTAGGTCTGCACAAATAAAATTTTGAAGCGGAAAGGAAAATGTTAATCATTTTTCACTCTCTCTCTCTATCTCTGTAGAGTTTTGAATTTCCCACATTTCTTAAGAGATAATTTTTCTTAAGAGATAAGAGTACACAGTCACTCACATCAACCAAATTGATTAATAAAATATACATTTTAAACATTATAAATTAAAAAAAAAAAATGACAAAAGTAGATAAGATGCGATAATAATCCAACTCTGAAATGAATTAATATATCAAAAGAATTTTTATTTCGTTATAATCACCTGGCAGTTGCTATTCATGATCTATTAAACTGAAATTGAGATTGCTCTATTAAACTAAACACGTACATTTACATGGAAGCAAATAGGTGTGCAGATCCCTCTCATATTGAAAAACCAATTTGGTCATTCCTTAATTCGACTGAACGGATACAAATGAGAATTAGTCTGAGTCTTAAAGTGTCTCCTACAGTTAAGGTCTGTTCAAGACACTTAATGGTCTAACAAAAAAAATAATAAAAATAAGTGTACGGTACAAATTGGATGAACTCCCAACTTGGGTTGTATGTCTTTAATGAACCCCTGAAGGAATCCGTTCTCTATTGGTAATAATGGATGCAATAGGAATTGTTTAGCCTAAATTCATGTAGTTTAATTTTATTTCTTTTCTCTGTATTCTTTTTATGTGTATTTAAGTAAGACCAAAAATAGACGTAAAAAATAGGCAATATATCCACACGAATAATATAATGTGGCTTAGAGGCTTAGACCGTCACTTAAAAAACCTTGCGGCATAAGCTATGGTATTCCACCGAAAGCTTCTTCCTTTGTCTTCGCCATGTTTGTCGTTGGGAACATCAAATGGTTATATTTATTCAGAAAAAGTTTATTACTTTCAAAAGTTAATTATACTGTTATATCATTATTTTTATAATTTACTCATTATTTTTTTCTAGGTCACTACAAATTCACTCACTTTTAATAATAATACAAAAGACCGTAAATTTTTTTTTTTTTTGGGGGGTAATGGGGTGGGGGAGACTCAGCGAGGCTAGTCCCGGGTATCTAAGGTTACAAAACGCACCCGGTCCGTTTTCAAGAGATCTGTAATGCACTCAGGCGGCTTGTTGAGTTCAATCCAGTCACACTGATTCTTTGCACCATCTGACCAAATCCCCACAATTTCCTAGGGGTTCAGTCTCGCCCGTGAGCCATAGTACCATTTGTTGTGAATCCGTGAAGACTCTAATCTTCTTCTGACCAAGTTTCCAAGCCCATTTCAGGCCAAGGTATACTGCCCATAATTCACCTTCGGTCGCATTGCTTGCTCTTGTCGTGCAGCTGAAGCCTTTCATCCAGTCTCCATACTGGTTTCGCATGATGCCTCCACAGCCTGCTAGCTTCTGTTCTGAAACGAATGAGGTGTCTGTGTGTAGGATTGTCCAACCTTCCGCATTTTGTAGGACTCCTTCGAAAGACCGTAAATTTGGCTGCCAAAGTCACCCTTTATCAGATTTTTTTTTTTGAGTACTACCTAAGAATCGAACCCATGACTTTCTATATGTGACTTGTGCCACTAGATCACAAAGTTACGTTATTGGCCTTTTATCATATTAAAAGACTTGCAATTACACATAGTTTTTTTTTTTTTTTTGAAAGAATGGCATGGCAATACCAAGTCATATTGAAAATATCAAATTTGTAGAGAATAATGTTAGTCTAATAATTAAATACCTGTCATTGTAGGCACTTTGAGCTCTAATTAGTTTAGATTATGATAGGGATATTTGATAGCAACATAGTCTCAACTAACCAAGCAATTGGTGTGTTAGGCAAATCATTTAGTTGATTTTTGAATTGCAACTTGTGATATGATTGTTGTTAAAAAGAGTTAATTCCACCAGAGGTCCTTTATCTTTGGTGACAATTTTAAATTTAGTCCCAGATTATTATTTTTGTCATTTAACATCCCAGACTATTTTTTTGGATACTTTTAGTCCTTCTCATGACTTTTTTAATTTTTAGTAAGAACACTTTTGTTTCTTCATATTTTTTCTTTTGTTATTTTTCTTGTTTCAACCGGTTTAATTGGTTTAGAACTTTACTAAAAAACAGTTTGAAAAATATGGTTACTAAAAATCAGGGATGACCTAAAGTCCTAAACCCATTAAACCATTTGAAATCGAAAAAATAACAAAAGAAAATTTTGAAAAGACAAAAATACCCTTACTAAAAATAGGAAAAGTCATGAGAATGACTAAAAGTGTGCAAAAAATAATAATTCGGGATGTTAAATGACAAAAATGATAATCTTAGACTAAATTTGAAATTAGCACCAAAGACAAAGAACCTCTAATAGAATTAACTCTTGTTAAAAACTAGTGGCGGAGCGGTTATTATATTATATGTTGTGATAGGAATTACGTAATATTTGTAAAAAAAAAAAAAAAAAAAAAAAATAGAGAACATGAGAATAGTAAGAAAAATGAGTTGTGACCATTAATAGATGTGATAGCTTTAGAGAGTTTAAGTGAAGTGGGCATAATTTACACTACCGTTTAAAAAAAAAAAAAAAAAAAAAAAAACCGAGATTTCAACACCTAATGCCAATACCAAACATATCTTGTGTACTATTATCATACCCTAATAAGTTTAGAATCGAATTGTTATCCACAATAAAAGCTAATCTTTCTTTTTTTCCAACCAGATTACAATAAGACCTCACACATCAAGACTAATCTTGTTCGTGCCGGATATGCCAAGGACCCCACACACACCAAGACAAATGTTGTTTATACCCAAAACCTCTGGTTAAGCAGGAAGAGACCCGTGCCATCTCATCAACACCCCACATGTATAACAACTAATCTTTGACAATACTTATTGTTCTTTTATTATTGCCAACTAGATAAGCTTGCCAAGTGTGGGAAGTATTGAATAGCAGCATGGAGTCATGCAAATGTATACCTAACATTAGGTATGGGCACAGCACATCCACTGGACATGACCATCCTTTCAAATCCAACCATGTGAAAATATATTATTATTATACTTAAAAAGACAACTCACAGAATGTTACCTATACCATAACACAAAATCAAGAAGCTGATCAATGAATTAAAATGGCATCTCTACTTGGACTTGTTATCGGTTTTCTCATCCCTGTTACCATAATAATGTCTCAGACAATCAATCCATGTATTATAACAGAAACCACAAAGGTTGTCACATGGAAGTAAAGTTGCTGTGCTGGATCACAGGTTGAGTTATAGTTTTAGCAGAAGGAAAACAGGGAGGAGGGTAGACGTCCCCTGTGGTGGAGCCATAGGCCTCCCAACAGAAAGATGATGTACTTCCACCAGAGGGTGAAACGAGTTCAATATCCTGCAAATATAAGTTCCTACACGGGGAGCTATCGCTGCAGGCAAATCGTATTGCCTCTTTGGTAGCTGAAGTTCCTTTAATTCTTGCAAAAGACACTCTACTGATACCAACAGCTGAAGTCTGCAAATAAATGTTTACACCATTCGTTAACCCTTCTATGTTCTTGGAATTTAACGTTATGCATGCAGGCCATTATACTGAGAGATTTGTGAATTTGCACTTGGTGTTTGGGTCTAAGACAGAACGATTCTATGTAAAAGTGAATACCTGGTTTGAACATGGCTTCGTTGAGTCGCAGTAATACTGATCTATTATAATTGGATTTGAGACATTCTCCATCATTAGGTTCTCATAAATAATCTTCCTCACAAACCCGCTACCTCCCTGATAAAAATATAAAAACAAAACAAATTAAGAGAAATGAAGGTAATTTCCCCATATTAGCAAACTCGATCAGAATAATAAGTTTCGGTTTTGGTCCCTCGTGACAAATGTGGTCCTCAACTTCATTCTGAATTCAGGCTAGATGCGGAATGGTTTAGGGCTAATTGTGAAATGATTTTGCGAGTTGAGGATCAAATGTGTCACGAGGGACAAAAAATACATGAAATTTACTCGACTCAAAGTTAGCATCTTGCAGGAGCAGAAAAATGTCAAAAATGACAATTTACTCAACTAGAAATTACCTGCCATGTTTTAATCCTCGCCCCGTTCTCTGTATTCGAAAGAAATGCTCCTCTCACACTAACATCATGCACATTAGCCCATGAATTTGATTTTCCCAAGCTTCCAATACTGCCATATATGTGCACTGTTACCTTAAGGTTTGCATAGACATGCATTGGATGAGAGACAATGAGTCAAAAATATGATACCTTATACCATGGCCTGGACCACAAGTAATGTTTGTGATACGAATCCGTGAGGAGTTTCCAACTATGGATATGCAGTCATCTCCTGATTCAGTTTATCAAATCTTCATTACAGAAAGGAAACTACCTCACGCAAATTTTGAATGTGAATACAAAGTTCAGAGTATAGAAATAGCTCAAGCGCCATCAACAACAGAATACTCATTTATCTCTATACTCTCAGCTTCACAATGGTACATGGATTTTTGTGGGGCCGATCCACTCCACCCACCCAATGAGCACGTGCAATGCACCCGCCCACAGGGCAGGCAGTGTGTACCCCAAACACACATTCTTTTTTTACCCCCCTCCAAACATTGGTTCTTGCAGTAGAACCACCGATTTTTGGAGAATCTTGACACATTAATGGTGGTTTTTGAGTCAGCACAAAAGCCTCCATTAGCAGAACCAATGGTGAAAACCCCCATTTAGGTTCACAGTAAAATATAGAATCAGGAATTAAAGCCTCTGTTATAGCTCGAGAGAGGCTTTGGGTTCAGGCATGAAGCCTGTCAGCTCTGTTCAGTTCTTCATTAGCCAACTAATGTAAAAGAATATTAACTCTGCAAACTGTCTGGCATAATGTATTTAAAACAATGTCAAAGAAAATGAACATCTAGATACCAAAAATGAATTTCATACTCATCCTTAGACTTTTATGATTAATTATAGTTCGCATTAGCTAAAGCACAACCAGCAACAACTTCAGCAATACCAGGCAAGAGCACTATCACGTCATTCCAGAAGCAGGAGTTGTTGGCTTGGTTACCACAAGGTTACAAGTTCGACTCCCAGCGGGAGCGGCCTATTGGCTTTCTTGGTTTGAGTCAGTCAGCTATAGGCAACCTAGGCTGGTTTACCTCCTTGTGGTCCTTTATTGGCTAGGGTCACAAGGCGGGGTTTACCCAGTGTACATTCTCAAGTAGCGGCTGCGGGTTTCTCTCGTCACTTAAAAAGAAGAAAAAAGTGCATGAATGCAAGATAAAAACTGTTGTAAACACTAGGTTAATTTCTTAGTAACATGCTTAATTTGGTGGAGCTCATGCTGTTCACAAATTGAGTTTTCCATGTACACACACATGTTCTAACTTCTTATGTCCAACAAACCTGTGCCAATAGTGCACTCCTTGACAGTAACATGTGTAGATGCACTGATATGAATTCCATCAGTGTTAGGGCTACCGGAAGGTGCTAAGATCTTAAGACGGGAAACTGTGACCTTGACACAACTGGTAAACGCTAAGTGCATTTGTTGACTATTTAGCATCACGATGCCATTGACTCTCAAGTAATTACATCTGTGGAAGGTCATTGCCTGCACTGTTCAATTTAACAAAGTAAGGCTAGAGACACTGTTAAAAATAACACTCTTTCCTTCATTCAAAACCAAAACAGGGAAGCAGCACAGACTGACCTTTGGAGCATGTTGACAAGGCTGCCAAAAGAAAAGATGAAATTAGTTTGAAGACATTAACTTTGTTGAGGATGGATGGCATGTTGAAATGCTGAACGAGAGATGAGAATTACATTTGTTTTGTTGATCTTGCAAGACTCAGCCCACCATCTATGACCCATCCCATTTATTGTTCCTCCCCCTTCTACACTCAAGTGTTTCACTTTGACGAAATAGAGCCATTTATTTTTATCAAAACCATCCCAGACCTTAGGATCTTCTGGTGCAACAATACATCCCAAGACCTATGTTATCACAAGGTAAAACGTGAATAATGTATGATTTTGCTAAATATGCTGTTAGATACACCAAAATTTAACTGCATAATGAATCTTCAAAAGATGATGAACTATCTACATCACCACTCACCCTCAGAGTCACCTTTGATGTGCAAGGTCCAGTAAAATTAATTGGTCCAACAATGAACTGTCCATCAGGAACAACAATATTTGCTCGAGACCGTGAAGAACAGGCTATTTCCCAGGCATCCTGAAAAGCCTGATAACATGAAAAGCTCTTTAGCTGAAGCAACAAGTATAGCTGCACTCAACTCACATGGTATTCCAATAAATAACTTCTAAGGTTTCTCGTGACACAAGTTCATTTTAGATTGTTTATCAACTTTTTATAACTCCTGTTTGCTTATGAAACATCAGATAAATAAAAAGTAAATATGTGTCCAACCCAATAAAACCATTGCCAGAGAATGTAATTTGAGGCTTTGCACAAACCACAGTTTCTTTTGTCAGTCGACATTGGCCATCCAGACTCGGGGAACATTTTATGTATTTGATAAAAGTTGTGGTTGTATGAATATATGAGTGTAACCCAAGACATCCAATCTCTGAGAACAAAACTAAACACTTCTAAGTTTAATCTGATTTAAGGACGAGATATCAATCGATCATGAAACTTTTAACAACTTCAGTGGCCATACTGTTTTAACTATGAACACAGCAAACAATATGTATACTAAGGAATATACAAGGATTGGAATTTACATTCCACAGAAAAGGAATAAAGGAGGAATTCTTATTCCATTGTTTGACTGGCAAGAAAATACAAGGATTTCATAGGGAATTTTAAAAACCTAAGGTATCCAGAAGAATTTAAATTCTTCATATTCTAGGAATTGAAATTCCTAGGGAAAATTCCTCTTTACCAACCAAACATGTGAATTTTTCATCAGCTTCAAAAAATTGTTGAGGTAAATAATTTAAATTCCGGTGAACCAAATAAATGGACCGTAAAAGAATTATAAATGCCATTGCACTTGTAAAACTCTGAACCTCAATTATTTTTTGTTAAGAAGTAAGAACCCTTTAGTAGCAGTTCCATAAGTAGTTCCCTTTTTATTCCAACACATCCAATCTATCTGGATGACCTGATAAGATTTTCTCAGGGAAATTTATTTGTACTCTACCCTTCACTGACAATGAGGTTGGCATTCTCATATCAAGCGCTTACCACTATAACTAGTAGCGAAAACACAACTTCAACTTTATTTTCTTATATGTGCATAACAGCCAAAGCCACATATATATATATATATATATATATATATATATATATATATATATATATATTCAATGGAGGATGGAGGATGTTGGACTTGGCTCGCCACCATCCAAAAATTGCTCAAGAATCTGGAGCACATCTCCACACAAACACTCTACAATACTATTCTGGAAAATGCTAATCAAGCAACCTAAGAGTTACCAAAGCAAAAAGATGCTGCCTTTGAAGAATTATTGTCATCTTTTAACTATACAACTGCTGAAATGCAATTAATTAACCTTAAAAAAGAAGGAAGTTTAGGACTTACATTAGTGTCGTCAGTAATGCCATCCCCTACAGCTCCAAAATCAGTAACATTTACAATGAGAGGTCCAGATTTGTTGATAGAAAAGGACCCAGATGTTGGGAGCTGTATCAAACCTTCGAACCCATTTACATTCTCAATCGTCGCCAAGAGATATGCACCATACACAAACAAATTAACAACAGAGAAGATGGGTTTTGAAGAAAAAGAAGAATATTCGAAGAGCCTCATCTTCTTCAAGGCAGTATTAGTATATATATGTATAGATAGAGCTGGAGAGAAGTGAGGACAGAATATATACTTTGAACTGATGTCATTGTCAAGATTGCTTCTCCTTCATACAATAGGTAGCTTGGACAGACGTGTTTGCAGCGCTCAAGTATAACAACAACGAAAATTATTTAGTAGCGCGAGGTTCGAAAAGTTTCCACCTTGGGGAATCTGTTTGATAGTGTCACATCATTCTCTCAACTTTATTCGCAGAGTTGTTAAATGTTTCTTTTCTTTTCTTCTAAAATTTTATCCGGTAATAAGACGTTTGGTTGGAAGGAGAATTAAGTAGGAAAAGAATTGTAATTTTACAAGGTGTTTGGTTGGAGAGGGGGAATTACGTGGGAAAGGATTTGCAATTCCATGAGAGATGAATTACAGGGAATAAAGTGGGAATTTAAATTCCAATGTTTGGTTGACAGGAATAGTATAAAGTATAAAGTCCAAAATGTCCATTGTTGTGGTTTAGCATTAATTTTAGAGAAAATGACACTTCTTCCCCCTAAGTTATATACTTATAGCACTTTCTCCCCCTGAATTATTCAAGTGGCTGTTTTCCCCCTTGAAATGTTAAATGGACATATTTACCTTTAAAATAAATATTTCATTTATTTTCCTTCTCCAACAAATTATGACAATAATTTGGTTAAAACCAAACAAACACTATAGCAACCAAACCGAAATATTTCAATTACAATTTAGAATCAAAACTCGATATTTAGAATTTATTAAAATCGCGAACCGGAACGGACGATTCATGTACCGAACTGAAAAAATAAAATATATTTATTGTTGAATTTAGACTATTTAAAATAAAAAATAAAATTTTAAAATAAAGACGGTTCAAAATTGCGAACCGGATCCAGAACCGCCGATTCACGGTTCAAGATCCAATTCTTTTTATTCATAATTTTAATAAATTGAAATCCAAATATTAGGTTCTAGATCTGAATCATAACCGGAAACTTTTAATTCAGTTGCTATAATGTCCGGTTCAGTTTGATCTGAACCGTGGTCATCCCTACGTATACGCGATAATTTGTTGGAGAAGTAAAATAAATAAAATGTTTACTTTAAGGGTAGAAATGTCAATTTAATATATCAGGGGAAAAAAACACCACTTTTAGAATAATTGAGGGGGCTAATGTGCTTACCTAAATAATTGAGGGGGAAAAATGGCTATAAGTATATAACTTAGGGGAAAAAAGTGCTATTTTCCCTTAATTTTAAGTTAAAAAAGGGAGGGATAATTTTGACTCATCACTATCTTTTTTTCTTCCTAAAATTCCAGGAATTAAAATACCGGGGGGACATGGGATTTTAATTCCATGAAAATGGGGGAATTGCAATTCCATGGAATTGCAATTCCTTTCAACCAAACAAGAGAATTTTGTGGCCTTTGGAATTAGGTGGGAATTAAGTGGGAAGGAAATTTAAAATCCCTTCAACCAAACGTCCTGTTATAGGAGATGAATTACTGGGGATAAAGTGGGAATTTAAATTTCAGTGTTTGGTTTACATGAATAGAATTACTGAGAATTCCAATTTTAATGTTTGGTATCTATGGGAATTGAAAGAGAATAAGTAGTAAAAAGTCCAAAATGTCCATGGTTGTTGTCCAACATTAATTTTAGGTTAAAAAAAAAAGAGGGGTAATTTTGTCTCATCACTATCTTTTTTTTTCCAGGAATTAAAATCCAGGGGATATGAGATTTTAATTCCATTAAATGGGGGAATTGCAATTCCTTCCAACCAAACAAGGAAATTTTCTGGCATTTAGAATTAGATGGGAATTAAGTAGGAAGGGAATTTAAATTCCCTTCAACCAAACACCCTGTTAGTGAAAAGCATTGTTGCACGTCTGCACAAAAGTATGATGATTCTAAACAGAGCTTATTTAGGTGCGGATATTTTATTTTCTCCGATATTTCTGTTCATTCTTTTCCGCAATTCTTTAAAGTTCTAACTCCAATCGTCCCTTCATAAATAAATAACATTTTTTACTATTATCAATTAAAAAAAATTCTTTTATTTTAATTTAATATATATCTCATATATATTATAAAAACAAAAAAAAAATTATAAATTAAATATATCTCATATATTTAATAATATAAAAATAATATAATAATCACATTATTCAAATTTTATGAAAATGTCCTTTTTAGTCTTTTTACATTTATTAGCTTAAAAAAAAAAAAAAAAAAACTAATTTTACCAAATACTTTTAAGCATAATCAGCTAGTTAACAGCTCTTTAGTTTTCAAGTTTTAATTTATAGCTTTTCAGCTTTCAGCTACTTTTTCAGTTAGGTTTGCCTAGCCGATAAAAAATATTTGACCAACAAATTATATCAACCGTTTATAAAAAAAAGTATTTGATAAAATTAGATATTTAAATTAACGGTTAATATATAAAATGATCTATAAGAATACACATAAAGGTTTAACCGTTAACCGAACCGAACTTTATATTACCGAATTAACCGAACCGAAGTTTTTTTCGATTAATCGGTCAGTTAATCGAAATTTTTTATGCTAAAGTTGTAAATCTTTAAAATAACACTTAAAATAATATATTCAATTAAAATAATACCTATAATAATAAATCAATAAGAAAATATATAAACACAATACCATAACAACACCTACAAACATAAAAGCACAAATTACAAAGTCCAAACAGACATATATATTTAATTATTTATATCTATATTTAAAATTTTGGTTAACCGATAGTTTCGAACCGAGTTAACCTTTAACCAAAATTTTACAAATCATTTAAACCATTAACCGAACCAAAATTTTTTGGTTAAAGAACAATTAACCAAAATTCTTCGATTCAGTTGGTTAACCGAACTTTCACCGAATTTTGCAAACTCCTAGTTGGAATGGAGCATTAAGGCTTGCCTCAAGACTCCAAGATGCATTACCGCTCGCTGCTCATCCGAGCGAATGGGCAGCATTGAGGAGCTGAAAAAGACCCTCATTAAATTGAGCCATAAAGACTCTTTGAAAATATAAAATTTGTTGAATTGCAGGTTTGTTTGCAGGCCTTTAGCTCGTGAAGAACAGTAATAAAAAATTATAATAGCAGGAAGAAGAAGAATAAAGAACAGAGAAAAATACTTTCAAAAAAACGAAAATGCTCTCTAGAAACTCTCCGGAGGAAAACTAGCGAAGAAGCACTGCTGCGGCGGTGCGGACGGAGGAGGACCAAGACCTCCTCGAACGTAGCACAAAGAAATCTAAAACGTGTGGAGAAGAGATCCCAGTCGTGGTTGATAGCGTGGCCATGGAGGGTGTTGAGGTCCAAATGGAAATGCAACGAGAGCAGCCGGCCAACCCACCAGTGGAGAAGGCGAACCCGCAGCGTGCACCAGAGGTGGAACAGCCAAAGGTGGCGTCCTACAAGGACACGGTTATAGGAACAAATGGATACACAATAGACGATAAGGAAATGGAGGATCTGGTTTCAGATAATGATGAGGTTGATCCAGATGAGGACCCGGAATGCCCTGTCATGCCACTAACAAGGGAAGACAAGATCCGTATGAGAAAGCTATGGAAACAGGCTCTTATTGTAAAAGTTCTTGGAAGAAAGGTGGGCTACACATACCTAGTACGGAGAATGAACGCAATATGGAGGCCAAAATCAAAGATGGATGTTGTTTCCTTGGATGATGTCTATTTCATTGTCCGTTTCTGGTCGAAGGATGATTATGAGTTCGCTAAGTACAGTGGCCCTTGGACGGTGATGGAACATTACCTAATCGTCCAGGATTGGAAACCAAATTTTGATCCTAAGGCTGAGAAAACTGAACGAGTTCTTGTTTAGGTGAGGTTCCATGATCTGCCGGTTGAGTATTATGATCAACCGTACCTGATGAAGCTTGGCAGGAGAATAGGGGAACCCAAGTACATTGACCACGCTATAAGTATTGCATCGAAAGGAAAATTTGCACGAATGTGTGTGGAAGTGTATATCACAAAACCGCTTCTATCCAAATTCACGGCTCGCCTAAAGGTCCGAAAGATCGAGTACGAGGGAATTCACCAGATATGCTTCCAGTGTGGAGTTTATAGACACCAGGCGGACAAATGTGGCCTGAGTAACTCGGAGGAGGGGATCACTGGCGACATGCAGGACGACGGAGCTCAGGGAGGAACAAACAAGGAAAGTGGCATAAATTTAGCGATACGACCGGAGATCGTGGAAAGATATGGCGCATGGATGTTGGCACCTAAGCGCCAATACCGGCAATATACTACGCAAAAAGGGGGAAACAACCCTAAGGATGGCAGAGACATGCATGGTAACCAAAGCCATAACGGTACTATCAACGTTGAAAAAGGAAAACAAGCGGATATGAAAGAAAAGGCTGTAGAGAATCAAGGGATAGGATTAGCTTCCAAATTTGCTGTGCTGGCGGATGAGGTTTCGGGGGATGTTGTCGAGGATCATGCTGAGGATAGTAATGAGGTGTCCAGAGGTAAACAAGTGCAAGAGAAAGGAAATAAGGGTAACAAGCAAAAAAGAAAAGAATAGGAGACCTAATGTGCAAATCAATGAGAAACAAATTGTGAATGACATGTCTAAATCAAGTACCTCTGGAAGCAAGCAACCTATAAACCAGTTACAGCCCTCAACCGGGAAGGCAGATACGAGTTCATCTCGCCAAGGAACGAGAAAGAACCAGGCGGCGGCTGAGGAAACTCACACAGTAGCCCGGGGAAGTTTGAAGGACAAATCGTCGGTCAGCTCTATCCTTAATAATAATGTTGAAACTCCTCCCATGCAAAGCATTCTGGAGGAGTCTTCCCAGGAGCATCATGAGGATCCGCCTGACCTTAATGAGTTTTAGATGGATGATGATCCGTGGCACGATTGTGCTGGTGATGACAGTCGTGATGGAACCCCAGACGGGGCTGCTATCTAGGGTCCCTCTCGCCCTTGCCTTGCTGTTGTGCGTTGCTTTTCTTTGTGGTGTTTCTAATGAAGATCATTACATGGAATT